GCGACCCGACTGTGCTGATTGTGTGTCAGACCATGGTCAGACCTTTTCATTTCACATTTCACACGATGTAGAAAATACAACGCGTCGATACAAAAAGTGGCGCATGCAGTGAAAACCACATTTATCACCGTGGGTTTCACCGATTGCACTTTACAAGATGCTGGGTCGAGCGACAGTGGCGTCGCTCGATGCGCTCCAGACGATGGCCAAGACCGTGCTCGCCAAGGCGACGCGTGCACGTAACCCAACAGTGCATGACGTCCAAGGCCACCTCGCCGAGTGGAAAGCTCTCTACGACGTCCTGGACACGATACAGGACCCCGTGGCCTTCCATGCCCATGCGATTGCCCTCGAGGATGCCTACAGCTGCGATGCATCGACCATCAACTTTGCTGCGCGCGTGCACCAACTCCATCCCATGGCATTCGCCCAGGACACTGCAATGCGTCGCCCGCCGACGTCGCTGCAGTCGACGCTCTCGCGTTGTCCGCACTGCGGCGCCTCCATCGCTCCGACGACGGTCTTTCGCCTGCATTTGCAGCAAGCTCTCACTGTCTGCCACGCGTGTCACGGTCGCTTCGACTACGATACGTACAAGCTCGCTGCGTACATTGATGCGCATCCGTTCTGCGCTGTGAGTACAACAGTCGTCGTCGACACGCCGTCGTTGCCGCGCGACGGCTCATGGGATACCTTTTTGACACTGCAGGCCGCTGCCATTCGTGCTACTGGCCCATCGCAAGACGCGTACAACGGCGCGCAGATGATCCAACGACGTCATATGCTCGCGAGCATTCGCCGCAGCCTCAACCCCGCGCTCTCACTCGATCTTGTCCACGGCATCTTTCGGCAGCTGCGGTTTCTTGAGACCATTGGCAGCGCGTACGACTACTGGAATGACGCGGCCGTGCTAACAGCGTCAATTGAGCGGTACGAGCGCTTTATGGCGCTGACGTCGCCGATGCCGCTGGTGCCGACCGTGGACATTGACCTCGTCTGGCATGCGCACTTGACGCAGCCCGAGCACTACGCCCGGTACTGTTACCGCGTCCGAGGTGCCGTGCTGGACCACAACGACAGCAAGCGTTCGCTCTTGCAAAGCCTCGAGCGCACCCGTGCGTTGTGGCAACACGCGTTCAACGAGCCGTACACGAAACTGAGCAGCATGACGGCCGTGGGCACGCCCGTGACCGAGATGCCGCCGAGCCGCTGGGGCACCGTCCTCGTGCCCTACAACACGACAGCGCTTGTGAACCGCATCCTGTTGAGCACCGCGCCAACGCGGAAGCCGCAGCCGTCGATGGATGGAACGTCGGGCGACCATTATCTGTGCGATAGTAGCTGGCCTTACTACTACCAACGCCGCACGACGACGGAAGAGAGCGAGGACGCGAGCAATAGTGGCAGTGATGGCTGCAGTGGTGATTAAAGCGAGACTACTAAGGTATCAAGTTGATATTTAATCGCCGTACGGTCCGACGATATGATTGCACTGGCTGCAGACAGCAATGGAACGTTTGGTGGGGCAGTGCATGAGACCCGAGGTGGTCGGAAACGGCGTTGCGCCAACCCCCGACCATTGTACATCTTCCATGAAAATATGAATGCTGCAGCGCGTGCCAGCTCATCACACCTGGTGGAACTGTCATAACATGTTTTCTCGGTAAATATAATGCACACAATGTGTCATTTAATAAAAATCGGATTGCATAACACTTGTTAGAACTCAGACGCAGAATGCCAATCGTCGCGATATCCGAAATCGATGCAAGCGCCAAACTACCGGTACGCGGGGGCGGTGCTCGCCGACTGGGGCGACGTCGCTGTGTGGAAGCGCGGCTTCCTCGACGCCGCAGCTGCGCAAGGCCTGCGTGAGTACTACACGGTGAAGGA